AAGGTCAAGGTGGAAAGTACACCTGCATCTAGCACAGTGCTACTGGTCCTCACATGCTGGAGCTTCTCCCTTTATTTAGAGAAGTGTGTTTGGGTGTCTTTGCTCCCAGTTTTATTGTAGCTTTAAGAATAAAATCAAGGAATTTCAGCAAGATGTGGTGCAGGATTTAACAAATATTTTTTCTTGTTGGAATGTGCCTTCAGTCACTCAGTTCTCCATTTTTCCATATTCAATTAAAAGCAAATCTACAGCTGCTACCCCATAGAGTTCATTTAAAACAGAGTTCATTTTAAAAACTGAGTGAAGGGAAATTGCTTAGAAACATTCAAAAAGTTACTATTCAGAGACTACGGGATACCAATGCTATAAAAAAAACCCAAGTTCAACCTTGGAAACTATTCCCTCCTTGTTACCCTTTACAGTCCTACAGCAATCCTGCCATTGATTCAGCATCAAAACTAAAATGGATGCAAAATTCAACATCTGGGCTTTGACTGGTTTTGCAGCAGCAGGTCTCCACCCCATGTCCCCAGCTCAGGCTTTTTCACCTTTTGGGACACAACCTGTCCCAGAACCTTGACTCCAAGTTCTCATGTGAGGCCATCCTTCACTTCTCCATGGGGAAAGTCCTTCTGGGTTTGCAGGCATATTGCCAAACACAAGGGGATCAAGTGGACTTACATGCTTTAGGTGCAAGGCCCTGGGTTTCAAGCTGTAGTTCATTTGTTCCCACTGCCTCATTCAGCCCAGGTACAAAACTTTCTTCTTCTGTAAACTACAGCACCACAAACCATCACAGATTATTATTATTATTATTATTTCCTATACATACAGCAGCTTAATACCCTCTGGGACAAGACTCCCCAGAGACAGCTTAAAAAAGTATTGAAAAAGACCTTCCATAAATTCACACTTTCAAAATCCTAATTTATGTATAATGCTTCAAATTTTGCACATCTCTCTCTACGAGGAAAAAACCAGCACAACACAGAAAATCGCTTCTGCAAATTCCCTCTCCTATACAGTATTCAGATAACAACCTCATAATGTTATCATCAAAAGCATACACTCCCTCCTTGCAGTACTGTTCTTCATTTAGAACCTCATAAAAGATTATAATTATTTTAATCAAACAAGCAGGGTAATACATGAAGCAGATGTAGGATCTAATCCACCTAACTTAGGTGCTGAACTTGTGCTACAGCACAAAGGGAAGAGATTCCTTCACCTAAGCTGCAGACATCAACTGGATGGTGCAGGCACAAAGGAGGCATTTCAAGAGAAATCCATTCTCTGCCTAATTCTCTGGAGACCTTCATAGCCACCCACTGACTTCACCAACTAGGAGGAGAATTTATGGACTCAAGTCAACACCAACACTTCATTAAGTGCCTAAAATATAGGAATAAGATAGGAGCCCAAGTTAGGGAGACCAAATCTCTCCTAGACACTTTTAAAACCCTTCTAGTTTTCTTGCTGGGCTGCAAATGAAGTCTTGCCCCTTACCGGAACTTCTCTTGTCACCTGAAATATAGATGTACACAGGAGAATAAAGTGGGTGGAAATCTAATTCTAAGTTCCTATGCTTTCCCTTGCTGTGACCTTCTGTAAAATGTTTTCTTTCAAAACCAATGGTGACTAAAATGAGGGCATGCATTCTGTGTTGTTGCTCCTGCAGAAACCAGCCAGTCAGCGCCACAAACATGACGGCATAAAACGTGCTCCTCTAATTACACTTTCCAAACTGCTTGGATTTTTTAGAAAGACAGAATCAAAATGTGCCATATGCACCACCCTCCTGTTATAAATGTGATGAAAAAGACAGTGAAAAGGAAAAAAAAAAGCTCTGAATGTTGTTATCGCTGTCCTTCTGGGCCTCCTGAGCCCTCCCTGCTTCCTCCTGCCAACAGCTCAAACCACCTCACGGTGCTGTCAGTAGTGCAAAGACATCGCCTTTGCTGCACAGGGAAGCAGCAAAAATGCAGGATTTTTCTCCTTGAAAGCTGGTTTCAGTCTAAGTGAGGAGACTGCCTCACAGCCACAGGATTGGAAAGATTCCTGGTTTCTCCAGACCTCGAGCAGGATAAACAATGGGCTAACCAAACGTGGCAAGTCCTCCAAGAAACAGCAACTGTGGCAAACCACAAGTTCCAACAATCCCAAAGCTGAGGTGACTTAAATACCACTTTAGGTATGACTGATAGCATTTTCCAGCAAATTAAACAGCTTTACAGAAATATTTCTGACCAACGTTACCTCTGAGCAAGATTACATGGAGTCATTCAGCAGTCACAGACACACTTCTTCTAGGCTATTTTCATTAAAGTTTTATTCTGTTTATAAATCAAAATAAAATATTTCCTGCTGCCACTCTATACAGTAATCCATTGTTTTATTTTCTCTAGGGAGGTCCTGGCACCTATGAACAATAAAGACTGAGGAGCTTTAGCTCAGCTAACTGCTCCTTCACTGCACACTGTGGAGCTGAAAAACACATTTACAGACCTGTAAGTGCATTTACCCTGAAAAGCAGAGGGTATTTGCCATTCTTACTTGGCCCCTTGCTAATATTTCTCATTGCTTTTTTAGGCACTGAGATATTTTTCACAGAAAATATCTACAAAATTTAAAAGATAAGAGGATTGTGGCAGCAGGAAATGAGAAGAACTGAAAAATATCTTGTATTGAATGGTATAAAAGTTGCAAAGTGGCCCCTCACTATCCTCCGCTTGTATCTGCAAGGCAAGGGGAGGAAGAGCTCACCTCTCTCAAGCTGCTTCTACTCTGAGGTCCAACAAGCCACAGCATCTCCAGAGGGGGAGAAATTCAGGTAAATAAGATATTACAGATAGGTGCATTTATTTTTAAGCAAGACATAAATTGGGTCAGCTCCCTGGTTTCAGTGTGACACACAGTGACACAGAACATGAGCATTTCTGACCAAGTCCAATCATCTGCTTCTGTGCTGTAGCTGAGAGACACTGATCTTCCACGTGAACCTAACCCAGCTTTGCCTTCAGCAAATCTTGTATTTATGGTTTAATTATTTTCTTAAGTAAATGTCCCACTGTCTCCTCTTGGGCTTGTCCTAATAGCAAAGCTAAATGCATCCTTTTGATGCTAACCCATATTTTCTTCCTAATTGTATCATCTGCATCCATTAGGAACATTTTTTCCTCATCCTATATGTCAAAGCACGTAGGCAGACTCCCCCGAATCACTGATTTTTGTTTGTTCAGGTTAGACTAAAAAAATTAAATGTTTTTACTCTCTCTGTGTGGTTTGTACTCTCAAGACACTACAGCATTTCTTTACTCTTCTTTGAACCCTCACCATCTAAGATGTAACATATGCTGTTAGATAGCTAACACATGTATGGGTTCATCCAGGGTTAAACAGGATTGACTGAATTATGGACACTGAACACCATAACAGTGATCTTGATCAATCTGACTATTTTTTAAAGTTTATTTATTGCCATATGAAGACAATTCTCTCTTGCAATTTTTCAGAAATCCTAAGAGGCAGAGTAAGTGGTTCCCATATGCAACTTTCTCTTCTTTAAGTGTGATTTTGTGATGATTTTTTTATGTTTCCCAATAATATCACTGAAAACAATTTTGCTCAATTTAAAGTAGTTGAAACTGTTTGCAAATGTTAAATGCATATTTCCATTTACACGGGAATTTTTTGCTTGGACCAACCCCTCCAAACTGCACTTGCCTACCAGATATTAACATAATAAATAATTAACTCTTTTTTGAAGGGGGATAGGCAGAGAAACATTTACTCAGGATGACATACTCTGAGGAAGCATCTGGTTTACAATCCTGCCCTGCTTTTGCTCAGTTTTATAGCTGACCTGATCAAGGCTGGAGGAGGTCAGTAACTTGGCTGAGGTCAAATTAGCTCATTGGGTTTTGCCTGCTTTCATTCTTTTCTCCATTATGTGAGGTTGGCTTAAAAGAACTTGAAAAATATCTGAGAATATAGTAATTTAAAATGTAAGTCCAGAAAAAGAAGTTGAAAAATTAGGACCCAAAAGTATGACATGATGGAAAGAAGTTCCCAAAAGCATGGCAAAACTGCCAGCTGGAACTGAAGGTTACTTTAGGTAAACCATGATAGCAGAAGTCAACTACAGAAAGCAAAATAACACCTGACTTCAGATCAGGTTCTTCACCATCATCTAATTTCTACTCAGCTATTTCAATGCACTCTAGAAAGACAGTAAATATTTAAAGAAGGATGAAAATAAGGCACCAAAAATGGAGGATTACTCTACAGCTCTCCCAGCAGGACAGAAACAAGCTCCACCAGTCCACTGGACTCTGACTCTTACATGCAAAAAACTCGTCATATGTCCATCTTCTACACTGATACTGGTTTCAAGTTGTTTTTAGAACCCAAGTTTTCCAACACAGACTCCATCGATAGAATGTATTTGGATCATTTCAAACATAGGAGAAATCCAGCCGGGAAGAAATTCAGCCAAGGACAAAAAAAAATCCAAGCAAGGCTAAAATTCAGATCCTTTTTCTAAGGGTAACAGAAGCAAATTGCTCCATATCACTACTCTTCTGTTGCCTTCTCAGCTCAGATACCTCTGAACACTGAAGATACATGAGAAAAAGCAGTAAGGTGGTAAGAAATTTGTCAATTTTCTTCAGTGATCCAAGCTGAGGTAAACATAAATTAATAGGACCAAAGGACACCACAGAGCTTCTCGTTTTTAAAGTAAGCATGGAAACAATTTGTATGATCAATATAAAAGAATATTCCCCAAAAAGGAAAAAAAAGAAATAAAAAAAGAGAAATGTAAATAAAAATGCCTTTAGTTTTAACTCTACAAAGCTAAGGTTACCAGTGACGCTCAGAAATATTTTCTACCTCTGAAAAGACATCTTTCCTTCCTTTAAAAGCTCTCTCTTTTCAAAAGTTGAGCAGGTACCCAAATTTCTGACGAAGTTGCTCATGCCACGAAGACAAAAGTGCCTCACCAGGATCATGTGACCGGTGGAGATGTCCATGTTGGACTGAACCGGCTCCTCACACCAGGACGATGTGCTGCTCCGGGCCGAGGGGCTGGGAATGGGCCCATCGCTGAACTGAGAAGAAACACTGTTTATTCGGGAAGAGTGGAGGGGCTCCGGACGATCAGATGTTTTCACTGCCATGCGCTGGCGGCATAGCTCCTGGAGAGAGAGAGAGAGAGAGAGAGAGAGGAGGAAACAACCTACAGTTAAGAGTAATTACAGGATAGAGTCTACTAAAGACATATGATTTACAATATGTTTCCAGGGCTGGAAGTGTTTTCCCCCTCACTGCAGTAATTTTTGGGAGGCTGTCTGTTCTGTTAGGCACAACTACAAAGAGACGCTCAATGAAATTACTACGTGATGACTACCCCAACCTTTCACAAGCGCAATTATGGCTGCATGCACATCTCCCTATAGATAACCAAAACCCATATTTTGGAGCTTGACTTCTCTAACACATGGCTTTCTTCCCCCCTCCCCCCCCCCCAATATCACCCTGCGTTCTGCAAAGCCACTTTTGAACCGTGCAACCTCCTGAAGGTAATGGGGTTGCACGGGAGTAATTGAGAGCACTGCCTGGCCCTGGATATGCAAACTCAGCAAGCTCAAGGCAACTAAATTGATGTGCTCTCCAGTGTAAATCCTAGTTGATAGATGCCTCATTTCTCTTCATTAAAATAGCAAACTTGCAACACTTCCTCCTTGATGTGGGGCAGGGAGGATGAAGAATGACATTAACGAAGAATAAAAGCAGAAATCTGTCATTGTATTGTTTAAGCAGCTTTGGCGAAGAAAGAAAATTCAAGCTATCACACACACACTAATGCAAGTTATGTTAAAACACCAAAATAGAAAGCACTGGGAATACGTATTTTCAGTTGCTCTCATGCATAGAATTCATGCACAAATACAGAATTCTGGTTAGGTAACAAAAAATCCTGCCAGTGAAACCAAATCCTTACAGTATGAAATTCTGATTCTAACAGAATAAACAGACCCACAGTTACACCATCGTGTTATAATGCTTTTAGAATCAGCTACTGTGGTGAAATCACAGGCATTAAAATAAAATTATCATTTTTTAACATATGACTATTGTCCATGAGAGATACTTGGCTGCCTGTGGCACACAGCGAGACCAGGGAGCCTACAGTATGTGGACATATTGCACACACGGTGTGGTTACACATTTGTCTCAGATTACTCATTCTTCACAGACGAGTACTAAGAGCACAGTCTCTTGCCTCAGGCTAACAAAATAACACAGTCTGAAGAATTCATACTGTTGAAATGCCAGGGCTTTTGTTTTCTTATTCATTGATAATACAGTTGCAGCCCAAGTGCCATCAGTAGGGTGATCTGAAAACCATTATTTATCAAGAGCAATAAAATCTTCTTTTCAGTTAGAAATACAACTTAAGACTATGTTTGGGGTTTTTTATAAACCTTGTTAACTTCAGGACACTGAAGAGAGATCCTAATCCATGCAGCAGCAAGCATTAAAACAAACTCATTGAAACCACCACATTGAGTCTCTTCTTGTCACCACATGACAATGATTAAAGACCCCTCCAAACATTTTTTTCCACCAGAGCTTCTGTTTGACTTGCCATTAGAGATGCTTATGTGGAATTTTACTATTTGATGGTGTAAAGTACATTTTATATTTTTATATATATATATATATGCATGTACGAACTAATATACACTGAGACAAACTATGTATCATATATAAGCAGGATATATTTCACTGTCTACTACAAAAATACAGTCAATAGAAGCTTGGGAAGCACAGATTACTACTTGTATGTGGTGTCAGTTGTTGGAATAACAGTACAGATTGTTCTGAGTGAAACTGCCACCTGACTCCATCACTGCATTTTGTATATTTACTAATTTTGTCTATGCCACGTAATAATTTTTCTAATTTTTACAAAAAGTAGGGTTTTTCCACACTTGACTAGCATGTATTTTGTTGCTTGGTGCCTTTGTTACTTCCTAATAACCTTAACATGAAAAATACTAGGAAAAAAATTAAACTTTAGAAATATATTGAATTGAGTCGTGTGTATTGATGTCAGGTCGTTTAAACTATCAGTGTTAAAAGTAAGACTTTTTAATGAAGGAAAAATGTTATTGTATTTCTTGGTTTTAAATATAGGAACAAAATAAAAAACCTCTCTTTCTCCTTTTCTCTGAAGGATCACACACATCATAAGAAAAGATAGCAATAGTCCACACTGGCTATCACTAACCTCCGAATGACCTTGTAGTAGTGTAGTTTCAAATCCCTGCTTTTAGCAGATTTTGGGAAAAGTATAACAGAGAGGAAACTTTTTAGACAGAAAAATAAATCTACAGAAAACCAAAAAGCTGTTCAGATGTTTAGATATCAGCCATTCTCAGAGGGAATGGTTTACTGGACTAAGGAAAAGTATAATAAGTAAAGGTATAAAAATATGAGGTCCATCATATAACTGCTAGAAGGATGTGTCTTCTGGCTCGCATGCCATGTGGCGCTGATACGAATTTATTATATTCTAATAGACATCCTGCCACTTGACTCACCCCAACTCTGTGCTAACAATAGCATTTGTACTGAAACAGGATCTTTGGTTTTAGGTTGATCTGTTCCTGCTGTTCATATCCTGCCTCAAGTCATAATCCTCTGCTTTTACAAGTGGTTACTGTGGAAAGGATTACAGATCTCTGCTAACAAAAAAGAATCAAGATCAAGTGAACTCTAAGAAATTAATATACCATTTTTACACAAATTATAATGACAAAAGAAGTAATATTATAGCAAACTGGTGCTAGAGTAGATTAACCCCTAACTAAAAAGAATTTTTTGGGCATGTTACTAAGAAATATTGTTTTAAAATTAAGTTTATTGTGTTCGTGGTCCTTGTGGAAGAAGGTAAATTTGAGAAACATAACAAACATAAAAAGGCTTTTTTTAAAAAAAAGTAACCTGTTCTCAAATATTAACATATTTCTTTCCTGACATATATAGAACCAAAACAATTATTCCCTGAACTGCTGTAACTGTCAAATACCTCAAACAAAGCAACCACGTCACTGCGCTCTGCCATAAAAAATGTTTAATGTAAACAGGAAGGTCAAATCATAGCTGAAGCAAAAACACCACTGAATTTCTTGATTGGTGTCTTAAATCTCCATGACAATGGGTTTTCCCCTGCCCGTAAACAGAAGTTTTTTGTTCAAATTTATTTCCAGATTGGTCTAACAGCCTTTGACAGCTCTTCCTTCCCCCATCCCAGCCAGTCCAGGCCTGTCTGAGGAACCTGCTCCATCCCTACACACACACCAGCAGTCTCAGAACAACTGCAGCTTCTGCTTCTCCAAAGTCACCTCTCCGTTATTCCAACCATTCCAGCTCCTAGTTGGGTTTCTAGCCTGGTGCTGTAGGGGTAACATGGTTAAGACCACTACATATAAAATCTTTGATGCATTGAGTGTTTTGGGGAGCCATATGGGCTCCTCCAGGACATATGGAGTAGGGATGTCCAGCTCAAAGCGGAGAAATGTCTAAATGTGGGATTTGAGTTTGCTTCATTCTTGAGATGGTCCTCAGTGTTCCCTTCCTACGAGAGGCACTGCGAGTAGTGAGGTCTCGGCATGTGAGATATATTACACTGGGTGCTCTCAGGGACACATCATCTCTGGGCACTTCCTGAGTGGTATCTCTTCACAAATGCACAAAGCCCTAGATGGCTCAGACCCTCATTAGTACAATATCTGTTATCTGTACACTTCTCTGCCCTGCTCTCCAAAATCTTTACTCCCATAAGCATTTTGCAAATCAGCCATTTACCAAACCACAACTAGAATTCAAGCTTGACTAAAATGTCAAAGCTTCAAACTGTGAGAATGACACGAGCTGTATTTCTGTATCATCTCAGCACTTACACCATTAAAAATATTTTCTAAGAATGAATTCAATTTACTGCTGCACTTCTATATTTAGCAAAGTGGCTGAGGCTATTTCTGCTGTACTGTGACTCAGTAATGTCTAGCCATTGTTTGTGTATAGTTTGAGTGCCGTTCTTCATTTAAAAACATCATTTACACCTAAAAAAGCAACCGTAATGCACACAGTGAAAGATGAAGAAATGATCCTCCTGACCCTTCGGGCTATGATCTAATGGATGGGTTGGACGTAAACATTTATTTAAAAGGTAATTTGAAGTTTATGACATTATTTCCCGTCACATGAGAATTGCTATCATACTGAGGCACTTACTCTGTTTTTTATTTCCCAACATTTATTATCAAACTTCTGTGGTGGTCACATGCAGTATAAAATGGAAAAGTAATATTGCTGTGTGACAAAAACTGCCATAACCAAGATAAATATTCTGTAAATAATGTTGAGTTAAATGAGTTCAAAGTACAGCACAATGATCATCTGCAGTGAGCTTTTTATTTGAGACATAATTGATAATCTGAAACAAACCATAAACAACGTGCTTAGAAAAACTCTGGACCTCTTCCAATGAGGCTCTAAAATGCTCCCGATAGTTGGCTGTCCACACAGAGACACGGAGAAGCACAAAACACAATTGTTTCCTCAGGTACAACAAATAGATTTTCAAATCCATATGATCCACTTGTGAATGAACCACACTGCAGCAGAAATGTAACTTTATCCACACTTAAAGAAGGGCATTAAGAGACTTGCTGTGCCTCCTGGACCAGAACACACATGGATTGGGAGCCAGTCTTACCACTGTTCTGTTAGATGGGCCTGTGAACCTGAAGAGGTAAGAAACTCTCCTCTCAACCACGGAGGCATTAAGTCTGTCCAGAAATTAAGCCCACAGACACTTGGCCAGGTCTGGTTTAGACATCAGACCTGCTTACCACCAGAAGCGTTAGGCCACCTCTCCTGGATGTGTGGCAGAAGCTGCACTTCCTGCCACTTGGCTTTGTGATGCACAGCAGCCATCGGTGTCACAGAAGCACGAGACAGTAAACTACAATTTAGAGAAATTTTTATCATTCATCAAATTCAGCTAACACAGCAAGTGTCTGGGAAATCCTTTAAGGCCACACAGTTTACTAAAACGTTTGGTTTTAGAGAGAAATCTATGTATATGCCTTGGTAAGGACAAAGAGCATAGGCAATCACAGAA